ACGAATTTTCCGGTCGACCGACGAGTGTTCTTCAGCTTCCAACGGCTAGTTTTTTTGACCGTTGCCTTGGGGCTGTTTTGTCTTTTGCTTGGGGTTTTTGGCTGAGTTGTGAGAGGGTATAAATACCCCATTGTCTTCAACTCTCAAGCCAACTAAGAAATGTTTTAAAAGAAAAGAAAAGTTTAAGCAAGGGTTTAGGGTTTTACTGTTTGTTTTGAGTTTGGGTTTCTGTTTACAAAGGAGGAAGTTTTCACTGCAGATTGAGGGATTCATTCTCAATCCCCTTCATCCTCTTCTTGTGTTCTTAGAGAAGTTTTCTAACTCCTTTCTCTAGCAATTTCATTATTGATTTTCATATTCTTATTATTGCTAGTTTGCTATTTGAGTTAGATTTTATTTTATCTCATTGTTACACACACCCACTTGAGCTTATATTTTATTCATTGTTACACACACCCACATTGAGCTTTTAGTATTTACATACATAGTATAGTTGGGTGGTGAGAGTTTGTAACTTTGAGTTGTGCTTAATTGTGTTCTTATCCATAGTAGAGAACAATCACTTATTGTATTTGTGCTTTATTATGAAATCACTTTGTAATACACTTGTACACCGAGTGAGGAGTGTGTGGTGAGAGTCGGGGATCGTCCCAAGAGGAGTGGCGTCGGTTGACGTGCCTAGGGAGAGGTTGTAACCGAGCACTTGAGGGAGACACGGCTAGGTCCAACACTTAGTGGGTGTAGAGTGGGATTACAATAGTGTGTTGATTGTAAAGTTTTCTTGTGTTAGTGGATTTCTCCCCGGGAGTGGGGAGCGGAGACGTAGGACGGAAGGTCCGAACTCCGTGATCATATCTTGTGTTTGAGTGTGCTTTGGCGTTTATTTATATTTGTGTTTATATTTCTTATCGCCATTGTCATTAGCTCATTATTTATATGATCCACTATCTAGTTCACATTGTTTACCCCTTATGTTAGTTTATATATCCTTGCATATACATTTCATCATATAGGATATATCTTTGTTGTTCATATTGCTTATCCTAGCACATATATCTTGTTGTAGTTCATACTTGCTAGTAGGATATATCTTTGTTGTTCATATTGCTTATCCTAGCACATATATCTTGTTGTAGTTCATACTTGCTAGGATAACGTATTAATTAATTTTAATTGGCTAATTGGTATTTAATCGGATTAGATTAGCATAAGACCCTAATCACCCCCCTCTAGGGTCTAACAATTATTAAATTTATTAAGATTATTATTTTAATAATATAAAATTAATTAATTAATCTCAATATTAGTAATTAATAATGACAAATTATGTTATATGTAAAAAATTTATTTTAAGTAAATATATTTCTTATTTTATAATAATTAATTATCTTTAATTAATTAATTTTACTAATAACATTATTTTGTTTAATATGAAATTAAATAATTATAATTAATATGACTAATTAGTAAGAACAATTAGTGTGATTATAAAACATTTTAATTAATTATTTTTTATTATAAATTAATTAATATTTTACTTATTACTTTGATATTTAACTAATAAATTTAACACTAATAATTATCTAATTAGTATAAAACTAATTTAGTAGTAATAATATTAAATTCGCCATCATGTTCTTTTTGATCATTTAACAATTATTACAATCTTCAAAATTATTGATTTACCGAACACATAATTACACACATATCCTTATAAGTTACTAGGATTTATGCACGTGCAATGCACGTGATTAAATATTATGATTGAGTATTTTTGACTTATTTCTTTACTAAAATTTGTTTCTCAGTTCCACTTTAATTGTTTTTCTCACTTATGTTTTCAAACTTTACTATTGTGATTATTTATTTTTAATGTTTGTTTGAATGGGCTACACCAAATTTAGAATTTTCATGTAATAATTGAATTGACAAGAATAAATTATAATCTAAAGCTCATTTGAATTTTCGCATTATTTAGATCGGCATGAAACCAAGCTTGACTTAAGAAGGTATAATGTTTTAA